TAACGGTAAATGTTAGCTTGATCAATTAATTATTGATTTAATTATTAAATGTACGACTGTTTAAATCTCTTCGGTATCCAAGACATCTGAGGGTCTACGGAGTTGATTTGAGCTTAGCATGTAAAATAAAGGTCTATAATTAATAAAAGAAAGACTTCCATTAGGCATATTTAGCTCTTAACTAATCACACGAGTTTGCACAACACTAGCTGACATGGGCTGTACTATATACCGAAAAAAAACCCGAAAAACTCTGAACACCGAAAATCAATAAATTCCGAAAAAACACCGAATTACCGAAAAAAAAACGGGGGTCACACACACAAGGTGTTAGGTGGGTCAGGCTAGGCCACGCACAAAAATTGTGGAGATCTCTAGGTCACGCACAAAAATTGTGGAGAACTCTAGGTCACGCATTCAAATTGTAGACAAGGAGCCCAGAGGGTCAACCTAGCTGAACAGTGTACCCATTTTCCCCTATATGGTATCGATAATGCATGTATATCGGGTATCATCAGAATGTAAGTCTGCCGAGATTTTGGTGGCGGGTGTGGTATTCCCCGCCCAAAATGCAATGCCCCCAACTAGGCTAGATTAGCTCAAAAGTGTACCACATGAAAATCGTACAGCAGTGTACCGTACATCTTCAGGTATTACAAAAATAAGAAAGAAAATAAGAGGAAAGTCGGGACAGCCCAACTTTAAAAGTCCATATTTCCACGCGTAAACGGCCATGCTTCTAACTGATCTCTAAATAGCAGACGGTGAGGTAATCGCTTACGTTCATCCAGGGACCCTTTAGCAGCATCATACGAACTTAATCCAGGTAAAGTTTATGGCTTATATCTGAAACTTTCTGTCGGAGATTACAAGAGTTAAAATTTCAATTGAATCTAATAGTACTCTACACACCTAAGTAATGATCCATCATAGTTGAAAATAAAGTCATCACTCAAGACACAAAGTTCACACGAAAAATAACCTGCCTTTCACAAGGCCGAAAGTAGGTCTTCAATATGTTCACATGTGGAATGACACTAACGCTTGCATGCATACTCTTCAAAAAAGTAGGGGATATTGAAATGCAAATGCTTATGCAAATGAAATGAAATGAAATGAAATGGGGTTTAACGTCCTACTGTTTTGCTCCGAACTGGGCTAATGAAGACGGGCATACGCCATACAGTGTGCTATGAGGGTAATTTTGCCCGAACAGCGGCACTACGGCCTACTCTTATATCGAATTCCAACTGTCAAGGGATCTTTTACGTGCACGCCAATGTGTACACGGGACCTCGGTTTTTCGTCTCATCCGAATGACTAGACAGCTGTCCTTGTCAGGCCCTCCGTCCTGCATCACTGACAAGGGGTAACCACGCCGGAAAATCTGGATGAACTTTCTCGGCCAATGCAGGGATCGAACACCCGACCTCCAGGCTAGCGAGCCAGCGCCTTACCCACTTAGCCACCGTGATCCCCAAATGCTTATGCAGGTTGTGATATGATAAATAGTCATGGACACTTGACATGCTTTGAGAGTATGTTCACGGGTGAAAAACTTATCGCCCTAACAGAAGCACTGAGGTGCATGTGCGACACGCAATAGCGCCATACACATGGGAAGGGTTCATTGTCAAATTTGACACTTCAAGGAAGGCTTGATGAAAACTGCCGCGTGCTGGTTTATCAATCCATGTTTGCTTTCCTATCGGTTCTTGCATAAGATTTACTGTTAAGCGTATCTTTGCTTTTATCGGCAGACGTGTTCGTCGACCTCAACGTCAACCGATAACACCGCACGAATTGGCCGTGGCACTGCAAGTGGAGTGGTTCAGACAGATTGTCCCAAATCGTGATTGGACGGTTGATTAGGAGCAAGCCACGACGAATTGCTGAATGTCTGAGGATTGGTGGAGCAATTACTCATTATTAAGACAAAAATCAACAACGTCCATTTTCACTTTTGACAGTGTATCTCTTTGTAAGTGAAATGGGGCCGTCAGAAAAGACGCCCATTTGAACTGTTAATGTTCATGTATAGGCAATTGGCCTGTTATTAACATACACTGGTTACCTCTAATAAAAACAGCAGTGCATTGCCGCAGTTTGTATTGTTTCTCAATATCCCCTACTTTTTTTAAAGAGTATATTACAGGGAATGCAGCCCTGATCCCTTATACAGTTTTTTTTTCTGTATGTAGAACATGGCCTTGTACCAGTAGGAGACTAAAACTTATTTGATGCTCCATAATTCTTATAGTCTTACGTGGGACTTATTGTGATCCATGATCAACCTAGAGTGTCCCACTATATGTATGTGTTGCCTAGCGTGACCCATTACCCACCTAGAGTATCCACCATCTTCATACGTGACCTAGAGTTCCCCACAATTATTATGCGTGGCCTAGACTGACCCATGACCCGCCTAACAATTTGTGTGTGTGGCCTAGGGTTTTTGTCGGTGTGTTTTTTTTTCGGTATTTAGTGACTTTTCGGTATTTAGGTTTTTCGGATCTCTTTCGGTAATTAGTTAAAAAAAAAACATTTTTCGGTATGTTGGTTTTTTTCTTAGATCTTTATAGGTATTTTTCGGAGTTTTTTATGGATTCTTCGATACTGTTCGTTTTTTTTTAGTGTATTTGAAAAATACGTTTAGGTCTACGCGTGTTGTTACACATGTAAAAGTTAAACCTGTTGATCTCTTAAATTTTAATGAATTGTAACTAATGAATAAATTCAAGACATATCTTATTATATGTTTTATTGAATTGGTATATAAACAGAGTAACACCCCGTGTGGGATATTTCTTTCAAATATTGTGAAAGGGTTGCCAATAAAGTTGAAATTATCTTTGGGTTATTAAACATTGAATCGTCCTATTCTGTTCTATAGTCGTCTCAACATGTTGTTGTCATACGTTACGTCTGCTATAGCAACACCACAATAGAAACGAGTAATGTATTATGAAAGAAAATTACTGTATAGACTAATTCATATTATATCTCTCATAAAAAGGTTAACGGTAGTCCTACTTGTCTGGTGGGTGTAAGGATATATGACACTTGGTCGCTAGCACTTACATCAGGGTTCGATCTCGGTGTTAGCCGTGCAAATTCCTCTGAATTTTGTGGTTTGGTTTGTTTTCCCATTGTGTCAGTTGTGCAGGACTTAAGTGTGTGTTTGTGGGTGTGTTTGTGGGTGTGTGTGTGGGGGGGGGGACGTCTACTCGCTCGCACCGAAAAAGGGTATCGTAATTGCCATTTTAAATCCGAAATAAGAGCAGGCCTTGGGCCGCAGTCCGGGCAAAATTTCCTTCATAGCACACTGTATGGCGTATGAGTCATTTCCTCATTTAGAAGGCATGTCTTTATTTACGTCCCCATTTAGAAGGTTAATTAATAATCCTGATGTGTGTCCTAGATACACACACGTCCTGCGTCATCAGCAGAGTTACAAAATCAGTGACGTAAATATAAAGTGTGAAGGATATTCTATAAAGACAAAGGATACCCGGTCTTGTGCACGACAATCTTTACACGGATTTCAAATGACGAAGTCTTATTTAATGGAAGTTACCACATAATAAAAATATTACGAGTGACAAATGTTTGGTAATTTTCTGAATTTTATCCGTTCCGTTTCTGGTTTTTTTTAGTCAGTCGACCAATTATCAAATTGGCACATTGGCACATATAATCTTTATCTAAACGCTATCTTATATTTATGGCGAGCTCTCCTTACATTTCTAAAATGGTTTCATTCAAGATAACGTTCAAATAGCGCAGCGACCATGTTTACGGTGAAAGTACAATGAGACCGTCCACCACAATAGTATACATGACAGGGTAGGTAAACACGTGACAGGATAACTAAAGACATGACAGGGTAACTAAACACATGCCAGGGTAACTAAACACATTCCATTTAGATGGTATCATCAATATATCATATCATTTAGCTAAAGAAATGAGTTCGGTCCGATAACCGTAAACACAATAGTTTCTTATTTTGGCCTATTATAATATCATACTTCACATCTGTGTAATTTAAAATATCTGCCAATACACGGTATAGGTCGTAATGATAGGATAACAGGCCCGGCCCGTCGTAACAAAATGCATACTGGGCAAGGGGGAAGGGGGTAGGGTATGCTCTCGGCGCAAGGGGCCAAAAATTGTAAGCAAATCGATCAATTTTTTCCAAATTATTAAGACGGGGCTCCTCCCTTACGATGTTCAACGCAGCTTCTACTCTCTTACTATGCGAAAAATTACAGCGGTCGATTAGTTAGTTACAATTTGAGTGGATGTCTCAAAACTAACTATTTAATGAAGAAATGTGTAGCTGAATTTTAACTTATAAATTAAATAGTTTGTAATAGCTTGAATTCGAAAATCAGGGTAACAGCCTCTGTTAAGAATTATTGAAAATTAGTTCCACCCTACAATATAAAAACAAACAAGACATGTATAATACATCATCATACAAGACAGAAGTATATGTACATACAATAATTACAATAAAAATATGTTACATATATAACCTCCTCATAGTAATATCAGATGTACTACAAAGAGTGAGCATACTCTGTCCCGGTCACGATATCAGAACACGACGCTAAGATAATCTCGGTGTCCTACGTCATCAACAGAGTAACAAAATCAGTGACGTAATGGTAACGTGTGTAGGATATTTTAGAAAGACAGAGGATATCCTGCGTCGTGCATGACAATCGTTACACGAGTTTCAAATGTTGAAGTCTTGTTTGATGAAGTTATCCCACAATAGAAATAGTTAAAGTGAATTTCGTGGATTTTTCCGTTTCGTTACGAATGGGGATATTACGATGTCTGTCGGAGACCCCACGAGAAAACCAATTTTGCTCGATTTCGATCAATTATCAAGTATCTTTGACTTCTGGAATGGCACATATACTTTTTATTTAAATCTACACGCTATCTTACATTTATGGCGAGTTCTCTTTACAATTTTATAATGTTTTATCATGCCATTTAAGACGGGTCGTAGCTGGATCCCCGTTCCATTCAAGATAACGTTCAAATTGTGCAGCGACCAGTACGGTAAAGAACAATGTTGCAGTCCAGCATAATTGTACACATGACAGGGGTAGCTAAAGACATTACATTTGAAATGCTAACATTAGATCATGTTTCATATGTATACCACTTGTAAAAGATCCGCCCCTAAACCCCGAACTTTTAAATAGAGAGGGATATAAAGATAGATATCTAAAGGTGTATATAAAAGGTATATAGTCGTGTGGTATAACCAGTATAAAGACAGGGGTATAACGTTAGATATCTAAAGATAGATTTGTTTAGTAGTATGTTATAACCTGTATACATCACAATACTGTAATGTAGGACAAGTGTCTATTTCAATTCGGTAATGTGAACAACCATATAGATATAATCTGTGAATATTGCTGTACGTTTAATCCAAACCCTGTTTAAATTGGACATTCTTTGTTGAAACTTGGATGTACTTTTTGCACGGGACCCTACTGTGTTATAGATTTCTCTAAATATGGCGGAGGGAGACGATAATACACATAGCTGTAGTATCTGTTTAGAGGATTTTACTAAACCTAAAATACTACCATGTTTTCACACGTTTTGTGAACAATGTATAGACGACCATATCAGAGCACATTCACATCTCAACAAGTTTAATTGTCCTAATTGTAGGATCGACATTCAAATACCTGATGGTGGTGCAAGTGGGTTTTCAACAAACATTTATATTCAACCGAAAAGTAAAACGGAAAAACATTTCTGTCCGAGACACAAGGCAAATGAAATAGATTTTTATTGTCGAGATTGTTCTGTTGCTGTTTGTAGTAGATGTCTTATATTGGATCATACAACTCACTTAAAAACTGACCTTAATGACGTAGACCAAGAAATCAGAGGAAAGTTAAACATTATAAAGGGGGAGTTAGAAGAGAAGGTTGACGAAGTCGCGAAACATTGTGAATCTTTAACCAATCAAATATCTGATATCAAGAACCAAGCTAAAATAGCCTGTGATAATGTCGATACACAGGTTAAACAAGTTTGTAAAGAAGTCAGAAAACATGGCGGTGACATAAAATGTGAGATGAATAAAATTCGTGACGACGAAAGTAAAAAGTTACAGACATTACATGACGATATGATCCAAATGAAAAGTTCTCTACAGAACAGTTTGAAATCTGTGAATGAAGTGTTAAATGGTAAATCTACATTTCCAGTTGTAGATGCGTTAACCAATGTACAAACACTGACAAAAGATAGCAGATCAACCAGTTTAGATATACCCCCAGTAAGATATGTCCATTATCCTATGGTAGATATAGATGTTAAAACATTAAAACTACTACTAGGTGAAATAGAAACAATGGAGTCACCAACCTGGACATCTAGTTTTAGTTTGTATCGGGTGAAGACAGATGAGTACTACTCTGGTGATGATATAATGATACAAGGAATGCCATGGTATGTAGATGTTAGACGTCTTTCAGATACATCAACATTAGCATGTTACCTGAATCTGAGAGGAGTAGATGATAAAACAGTTAAATCCGTTACAGCTAGTTATACACGAAAACTATTAAATATAAACGATGTGAGTAAATCTATAGTGAAACAACGTACAGATCCATTTACACCTGGTGATGGAAAGGGTAGTAGTAAGTTGATAGAGTGGAATAAACTAGAAGATGTGAGTGAAGGATTTATAAACAACAATAAAACATTTACTGTGCAGGCGTCTGTAAAAATAAACAACATAGAACGATACTAACATTTATATTAGATAACATAGTATGATAGATCGGTGTCATCATAATACAAGAACATATCCACAGAACATATGTGAATAAAATAGATTTTAAATCTTTTTGTTTCAACTAATACAACGTTATATAGGTATGTATCTATGGTCGTGTGTGTAATAATAACTGATACAGTGTAAAGTTTGTGTCTATGGTTGTGTGTACAATGAATCGGTAAATAACTATTAACTGTGTAATGGTATCAGTTATGTGTAATATTAAATAGCTATTAACTATAAAGATATCATTTGTGTTCACTTGAGGTTGTAACGGTAAATTTAAGACGATTATGTGATACACAAAAACAAGGTGATTTATAGACAATTTATATAATTTAATATAATTTATCGACAGAAGATGATAAGAAGATAATAATTGTATTTATATAATTTTATGTTATTTATTGACAGAAGATGATTAGAAGATAATAATTGTGTTATGTAAAATGTGATATTTATAAACCAGGACCCACTTGAAGCACGAGGCTTAATAGACTGATTATTTAATAAACAAAAGGTTGGTTATCAGAGCCCCCCCCCCCTCGCCCTCCCCACCCTACCCTGAAAGTTCTTACCCCTCTTATTGGCCCCAGAATTGTGTTATGTAAAATGTGATATTTATAAACCAGGACCCACTTGAAGCACGAGGCTTAATAGACTGATTATTTAATAAACAAAAGGTTGGTTATCAGAGCCCCCCCCCCCGCCCTCCCCACCCTACCCTGAAAGTTCTTACCCCTCTTATTGGCCCCAGAATGCTGATTTTGGTGGAAACGTCCCATTAGATGCACCAATGTGTCTTGTATAATGTCTTTTTAAGGTTTACCGAGTCTCATCATTGACTTCGAAATCACTCTCGACAATCCAATATGGCGGAGATTCCAAATGGCGTCAAATCTTATATCATACATATGGCTTTCAATATGTCTTCATATAGGTTATTAATGCTACATAGTCTGGATCAGCCGATATTTTGGAATTTCGGGATAGGTCAACGTGTATCAGCTCTTAAAGTTTCGAATTAACAACCAACTCGGATTTAGTAGATATGACCACCTGTACGACGTTATCACCTAAAGAGATTTCAAGTTTTATATGAATTATATTTGGAGGGTAGTTCAAAATAACAGGGAATATAAATCATCTGTACTCAGCTTCATTATTGCTTATTGATTAATATATACTATATTTATTATGTATTATAACTATAGCCTATTCTTTGCTTGATAAAGATGAGAGGACCCTCGTGGAAACGTTGCCATAGAAATAAATCTGTTAAGTAGCTTGTATTCCATATAACCGTGTTATGTTTTTTAATTGGTGGTTGGTGTATTTGTAGACATTTTAAATATTGCAATAAATAAATTATACCACCCAGCTCTTAGTTTCTTTCGTAACTCTGTGAATAACATCGTTGGGTCACGTACAATAGTTGGTTGTCATAACAACATGTTGTGACGGGTGTCGTGCACAAGAATAAAGACAGACCTTCATTGACCAGCTTTCGGTTCAATCGAACACGTTTACGGAACAACCTTAAGCTAACGAAAATCTTTAAAACCTGAATGGAATTTCATCTTAAAGCAATACATATGAGGCATTTTAAATCAGGAAGCTAATTCTGCACAGGGTATGTAGATAGGTGCACGATAGCCATGTCGGGTCTAAATATTAAGGCTAACTGCGGATTTCGTCAAGGTCGCGAGATTTTAATAGGGTTAGGACACGTGAGTATGTGGACTAGGGATAGGGTTGGCGCTAGCCATGTTTATATCTCGTGACCTTTGATCAAATCTGCAGTTGACCTTACTATTTAGACCTAACGATGATTCCTTGTAGCCAATAGACTGAAGCGGGACATGGCGTTAAGGCATGGGGTGGGGGTGCAGAGGAAATAAAATTCGGGTGAGTGGCCGGGTTTGTCGGGGAAAATTACTGTCTGTAAATAATATTCTTATGGTATTAGTTGCATTGGGGTCCAATAAGATGGACACCGTGATAGGTTACACGTTTTCTTTGAGGTGGGGTGGGGATCTAACGCGTGCGCCTTATATCATAAGGGGTTTCACTGGGCCAAGTCCTCTGGTTTTCTTCCACTGCGAAAGACCACTAAACACAAACGAATTATTGAAATAAAATTGAACCATATGTTAGTCCCGAAATGACATGGTTTGTGTCGAGTGGACGTTAAACCCCATGTACCTGTCTCTTGTCGCATAGCTTGAGATATCTCGAAATAAAGATAACTACAGTGAGCAGCCTTACCGGAGCCTTCAGGGAATTCGATCACTATCGTGTTAACAAGGTTTAACGGACGCATGATGTGCCTGTGGAAGAGATAGTCCTAGAATACTGAAAATCAACAGGTTCATCCCCTCCGATATCAATGATTCATACTAAATTCGAAAATCAATTTGGTTGTTGGTCGTCTCACGGTTGTGGAGAAAATCGTTAGCAATGGATTGTGATCACAATGTTACAATGAATAACCGTTGAGACAAATGAAATGAAAAGGGGTTTAACGTCCTACTGTTCTGCGCCGAACAGGGCTAATGAAGACGGGCATACGCCATACAGTGTGCTATGAGTGAAATTTTACCCGGACAGCGGCACTACGGCCTACTCTTACATCGAATTCCAACTGCGTGCATGCCAATATGCAAACGGGGCCTCGGTTTTTCGTGCCATCCGAACGACTAGACAGCTGTCCTTGTCAGGCCCTCCATCCTGCATCACTGACAAGGAGGGAACCACGCCGGAACAACTGGATAAATAACCGTTGAGACAGCCTAACACAAGCTTATAAACCACCTGAATGGTATCAAAGGACATCAGGCCCCGAATTCACAAGCCATTATCAGGGTTAAAGTAGCTAAGTCTCTAACTCAATATCATCCAAAATCTTCGACATTGAAAACACGATTTATTTGTCGCTTTAAATCAACATTGATGTTGTGATCTTACCCGGAAAAGATGGCCTTATGATATCCAATATTTAAGACAAAATAAACATTTTACAATTGGTACACGAATCGTGTACCATAATGCGTTTCAGCGTCATTTGTAATAAGGGACTCGAAAAACAAGGTTAGGCATATTCCACAAGTCATGTCAAACGGTGAAGCTATATTCTTATCTGGAGAGTATGCCTAATAAATACTATCGGCGTAGACTGGAAAAACCAGACGGTAGAGATTGAAATTCGATTGAGAATACTGGCGTATTTCGCCGAACCTAACTGATTAGAAATTACAGTAAAAACAGAAACGATTGAATGTAAATCAATTTATATACATTCATATTACATTATTGTATGAGTCGCGACACATTTGTGTCAATTTCTAGGTCCCAAATATTAGCGACTTAGCTCCTTTAAGTTAAGAATTTACACAAATTTGTTCGCCTTATTGTAACTTCAAAATAGCCCTTTATAAAACCTAATTGTTGTTTTAATGTATCAAATACCTCAATAAGAATCTATCTGTTTCTGGATCAGAGATATTTCTCATGATTGAAAATTGGGTAAATTTTAAAATTAAGTCTGAGAATACTTTGTGAATTCGGGGGCCTGATCTTCTGTTGATAGTGGATAGGATCAGTCCTCGGTCTAGTGTTGTTCTTGCTCTATTCATCCTTTCTGGCCAATATTATTTTTCATCACGGCATCGACAGCCTTTCATATTCTCATAATACACAGCTTGAAGTAGCCAAGTCTCTAACTTAATATAATCCAAACTCTTCAACATTGAAAACACGAGTTATTTGTCGATTTAAATCAACATTGATGTTATGATCTTACCCGGAAAAGATGAGCTTCTGATATCCAATATTTAAGACAAAATAAAAATTTTACGACTCGTGTACCATAATGCGTTTCGGTGCCATTTGTAACAAGGGACTCGAAGAAAGAAGCTAGAAATAAAGTCACCATATTCTGGAGAGCAATAGTAATAGATTGGAATAACCAGACGCTACACTGAAAAAAAACTTGTGTTGAAAGAACACAAACTTGTGTTGTTTTCAACACAAGTTAGGTGTCTCTATTTAACAACACAAACTTGTGTTGAAAGAACACAAACTTGCACACGGGGCCTCGGTTTTTCGTGCCACCCGAACGACTAGACAGCTGTCCTTGTCAGGCCCTCCATCCTGCATCACTGACAAGGAGGGAACCACGCCGGAACAACTGGATGAATAACCGTTGAGACAGCCTAACAACAAGCTTATAAACCACCTGAAGGCTATCAAATGACATCAGGCCCCGAATTCACAAGCCATTATCAGGGTTAAAGTAGCTAAGTCTCTAACTCAATATCATCCAAAATCTTCGACATTGAAAACACGATTTATTTGTCGCTTTAAATCAACATTGATGTTGTGATCTTACCCGGAAAAGATGGCCTTATGATATCCAATATTTAAGACAAAATAAACATTTTACAAATGTCAAACGGTGAAGCTATATTCTTATCTGGAGAGTATGCCTAATAAATACTATCGGCGTTATAGACTGGAAAAACCAGACGCTAGAGATTGAAATTCGATTGAGAATACTGGCGTATTTCGCCGAACCTAACTGATTAGAAATTACAGTAAAAACAGAAACGATTGAATGTAAATCAATTTATATACATTCATATTACATTATTGTATGAGTCGCGACACATTTGTGTCAATTTCTAGGTCCCAAATATTAGCGACTTAGCTCCTTTAAGTTAAGAATTTACACAAATTTGTTCGCCTTATTGCAACTTCAAAATAGCCCTTTATAAAACCTAATTGTTGTTTTAATGTATCAAATACCTCAATAAGAATCTATCTGTTTCTGGATCAGAGATATTTCTCATAAACAGTGATTGAAAATTGGGTAAATTTTAAAATTAAGTCTGAGAATACTTTGTGAATTCGGGGGCCTGATCTTCTATTGATAGTGGATAGGATCAGTCCTCGGTCTAGTGTTGTTCTTGCTCTATTCATCCTTTCTGGCCAATATTATTTTTCATCACGGCATCGACAGCCTTTCATATTCTCATAATACACAGCTTAAAGTAGCCAAGTCTCTAACTTAATATAATCCAAACTCTTCAACATTGAAAACACGAGTTATTTGTCGATTTAAATCAACATTGATGTTATGATCTTACCCGGAAAAGATGAGCTTCTGATATCCAATATTTAAGACAAAATAAAAATTTTACGACTCGTGTACCATAATGCGTTTCGGTGCCATTTGTAACAAGGGACTCGAAGAAAGAAGCTAGAAATAAAGTCACCATATTCTGGAGAGCAATAGTAATAGATTGGAATAACCAGACGCTACACTGAAAAAAAACTTGTGTTGAAAGAACACAAACTTGTGTTGTTTTCAACACAAGTTAGGTGTCTCTATTTAACAACACAAACTTGTGTTGAAAGAACACAAACTTGTGTTAAATGTTGAAACAACACAAGACTTGTGTTAAAATTTACCAAACAACACAAACTTGTGTTGAAACTTGTGTGAAAATCTACACAATACTTGTGTTGAAACTTGTGTTGAAATTTCTGAAACTTGTGTTGAAATTTCTGAAACTTGTGTTGAAATTTCTGAAACTTGTGTGGTTTCATAAAAACTTGTGTATAACCACCAACAAAAACTTGTGTTTTATTTTCCCTCAATTTAGCAATCTTTCCCATGCAGCCCCCACCCCTTTTGCTCTGTTTAACCTGTAAAGTTTGATAAATGAGGTAACAATAATTTTATTTGTTAAATTATCATTTATTCATAAAATGACAGGAAAAGTAAATTAACACCACCAAATCAAAACTAAATAGACATCATTTGAAATGTTAACAGAAAAACAGAGATATAATTCTAATACTAATAAAAATGTTGTTATACTTTGCCCCCCCCCCCCACATTACAAAATACAAAATAGCTATTTAATTTTTTCTTTACCCGAAAACAAGAACTGAGAAAAGAAAGATCCCTACCCCATACCCCAAAAATATATAATTCAAATATATCTAAATTTAATAACATCCAAACCAAGCCCTAATTAGATTAATTATGCACTAAATTGAAATACTTTCAGAAACTGAAAAGTGCTACAAAGTCATATTACAAGTGATTTGTGAGGCATCTAGAAATAACTAGCATACACAGAAAACTAACAAAAGAAAAATGCACTATTTTGCAGGAGTAATAAAATGATGTAGAACCTTTTCCTCATTAAAAAAAAAACAACAAACAAAATGAATATTTTGTACATAAAAGGAGCAAAGCATCAAGATTACAGGATTGAAAAATAAAAAAATATCAGAGAAAATCGCAAACATTAAATAATATGTACAAAATATATATAAATAACCATGAGTCAAAAGCAAGGAGGAGTCACT